TGTCGATATCTGGCCTCCAAGCCCTAGGCCATCACTAATCTATTGTCTGTCTTTATAGGTCTGCCTGTTCTGGATATTTCATATAAATGGAATGATGCACTACGTGGTCTTTTGTGTCTGGCTTCCTAAACTTAGCATGGTAGCTAACATAATCTCCTTTTATATTTTAATGTATAATAGTGCCTGCGTTGCTTTCTCTCAATGAGATTCATAGGCAATATGACCTACTTACATAATTTCTAAAACTCTGCCTTGTAATAAGGTGACTTTTAAAATAAGTAAATGCTGGGGCACCTGGGTGGCTCAATTGGTTAACTGTCTGACTTCAGCTCTGGTCATGATCTCACTGTTCATGAATTCCAGCCCCATGTGGGGCTCTGCGCTGACTGTGTGAAGCCTGCTTGGGATTCTCTCTCTCTCCTTCTCTTTCTGCCCCTCTCCCGCTCATGCTTTTTCTCTCTCTCTCTCAAAGTAAATAAACTTGAAAAATAATAAATAAACAAATAAGTAAGTAAATGCAAGGGCATGTCCACATAGGGTAATAGTAGGATCTTGAAGCTATAAACAGTGTCACTGTGAGTGTGTCAGCTATGGTGGAGTGGACACAGGCATGTGGTGTACGAGTTTCTGGTGCGTGGAGAAGCTTTTCCATTGGTGACTCAATTTCCCCAAATGTTAAGCAATCCCAGATAAAGTTTCAAATCAATCAAAATTCAGTCTTCCCTCAGTTTCCTTGGTAGTTCTGTTCTCAGAAACTTCAGTGTATGTACAAACCTTGCAAGAAAATATTCAGTGGTTCTTTAGAAGAGAATTAGGCTCTCCGTTCAGAGGATTACAGATAGGCGTTCACGTACAAGAATGTCTGGCAGAGACCTCAAGAATCATGTTAGACACAAAGGACCATTTCATAGGCTGGCAATCTTGTGCACTGAATGACGCATAGTATCCCTGGCCTCCTCCCCTCTTAATGCTGGTGGTGCCTGCAGTCATCATGCTTACCAGGAGTATCTGCCAGGAGATTGCATGTCCCTTGTGAGGACCAGTAGTTTAGCTCTTCTGAACTTAAACACTGCCATGTACACAATCCCCTCTGAGCCCCCTGTCTATCAATTTCAGGGTGGGGTGTTTCTTATTTAAATAATTTCTAGTTGCCATTCTTTTTACACTTATAAGCCTGTTCAACATTCTTTTGTCTTAAAAAAATTTCAAAAGTCGTCCTTTTATTTTAAATTTGTTTTAATGTTCATTTTTGAGAAAGAGAGAGACAGAGTGAGAGCGGGGGAGGGGTGGAGAGAGAGGGAGACACGGAATCCAAAGCAGGCTCCAGGCTCTGAGCTGTCCACACAGAACCTGATGTGGGCCTGGAACTCATGAACTGCGAGATCATGACCTGAGCCAAAGTCGGATGCTTAACCGACTGAGCCACCCAGGTGCCCCAGGACATTTTCAAATTCTGTCTACTGCCCCACTTTTGCTGAGCTTGATCCCACCTTTATCCCTCCGCTGGATTTTGTGATATTCTCTTATCTGGTCTCCTTCCCTCTAGTCTTGATGTCTTTGCCCCCACTCTGCCCAAGACACCGGAGGACAGATCAGATCTGGCTCTGCCTCTTCCCCGAATGTGCAAGTAAGCTGAACATCCAGATGCCGTTCCACACAGTGCCCGATGGCCGGGCCCACCCCACACATCTCCTTGTACTTGAGAAGAACTTCTGAAACATTGACATGTTGAACCCTAGGACTCAGTGGGATGGTATTAGGAGGTAGGGCCTCTGGGAGGCGCTCTGGTCATGAGAGTGGACTCTCATGAATGGGCTGAGTGCCCAAGTAAAAGGGACCCCAGAGAGCTTCCTCACTCCTGCCACCACGTGAGGACCCAGCGACAAGATGGCTGTCTCTGAACCAGGAAGCAGATACCAAATCTGCTGGCACCTTGACCTTGGACTTTCCATCCTCTAGGATATAAGAAATAAATTTCCGTTGTTTATAAGCCACCAGCCTGTGTTTCATTGCTATGGCAACCCAAGCTGAGACAACCACTTTTTGAGATGTGACATCCTTAACAGCTTTATTGAGATATAATTCACCGGCTGTACAATCCACCCATTTAAAATGTACAGGTTGGAATATTTTGGCCTATGTACATATCCCATTTGTCATTTCTTTCCCCCCTTCCTGGCAATCATTGGTCTGCCTTCTGTGCTATGAAGTTAACATTTCAACAATTTCATAAACACAAGATCACATAGTACGCACTTCTCTTTCCTTTGTCTTTGTTCAGGCTTCTTCATTCTGTCTCTACATAGATACATATCCATAGGATCCATTGGCTAATTTTTTTCAAAGCCTATTTGCATTATGATGAGATCTTCTGTTTGTGTCACGGGGACCTAATGCAGGGCTCAGCACATCGTGGCCTTGCTGTAATGAATGTGAGGGCAGAGATAGGACTCCCCAACCCACAAGTGCTATTCCTTCCTAAGGACTTGAACAATAGAGCTCTACCTTTTGTTTAAAGAGAGCTGTCATACAGTAATTGGTATTTGAAATGTATCAGTCAGAAACAATATGATGCGGTAGTAATACTTTTTTAAATGAAATGAACAACTGTCCTAATTCTTAAAAACATCCTTCCAATGTAGAAGGCAAACTAGAAATGGAGTCAGAGGGACTTGTGACCTTCAAGGAAATGTAAAAATTTGTCTGAAGCCTCCTGGCTGTCTTCACCTAATGATTTCAAGGGTTCCTGTCCGCGGAGGTTAAGTACTCATGAGCAAGCTGGAATTATTATACCTGCAATATTTTGTTTTTGCTGGTGAGCTGGGAAGGGCCAGGGTTGAGAAATGTATCTCCAGCGGCTTCCGAGACACTCCTGGTAGGCGGTGCTGTGAGTTTTCTGTCCCCACACATAATTGTCAGTCTGATGCGGTTTCTTGCAGGTTCACAGGAGGGAGGCGCAAACATAAAAGACCGAGCCTGTTTCCGGGACAGTAGTTCCTGGTAATAAGGGGATGGTAAAGAGGTTGAATTTCAAAGTCCGATTAGAAATCACAGCTATGGAATTCAGTGATTGTCACTGAGGCTTTAAAGCCTGTGGATTTGGCCTGCTGTGCACACACAGTGGTTCTTGGTTTTTTTAACCCAGAGCAAAATGACGCCGGGGCACAAAACATCAGCAGTGCCTTCTGGGGGGTGTGAGTATCTGGAATAAGGCTCGGAATTAAGCCAGCTAAAAGAAAGCACCAGAATGTGGAAAACCCTAAAGCATTCTGGCTGACTGATGAAAATTATTTTTGAAACAGCCCTTCATCGTGGGTCTCTTTCCAAAGCAAGAGAACTCCATCCATCACGAGCTAAACAAAAGCCCTAGTAAAATCGATACGGTCATGGTGAGATGCAGAGGTTTATGATTAAAGCCCAGGACAAAGGGCCCCGGGTGAGAATACAGTGTCAAGAGGGGCTTCTCAAATTCTCACGTGCACACAAGCCACCTGAGAATGGTATGAAAACCGGGTGCATTTTGGGGAGGTCCAGGCTGGGGCCTGAGATTCCGCATTTGAGCCCAGTGCCCGGGGCCCGGGCAGGGGGTAGGGGACAGATGACCCAGCCTCAGACCACACTTGGAGTGGCAAATGCAGACTTGAGGAAATGGGTTGCTCTTACGTCTTTATACCCGATCCTGAGATTGTCCGCGAGAGTTCTCTGACAGAGTGAGTGCGGTTCATAGTCCTGTTCATCCCTGCAGGGTAACTAATGGAAGTCAAATTCTGGTTTCTGTCTTGTGCTTTAAGAAAAAGAAGGGAGGGGAACAGTTTCTTCATTAATGTCATCATGAAAAACCACTTGAAAAAACTCTAGATTGAGTTGTCTATTATCTGAGGGTTCAAAATACCCCTGTCATTTATCTTACTGATGCTCCTAATTACAGAAAGAAATTAAATTATATCTAGTATCTTGCCTACATGCATTAAGAATAACAGTGTAACATTCAAAAATAGACTAACATTCAAAAAATGTTTATGTTTGTTTATTTTTGAGAGAAAGTGAGCAAGCCAGCACAAGCAGGGGAGGGGCAGAGAGAGAGGGACACACAGAATCTGAATCAGGCTCCGGGTTCCGGGCTGTCGGCACAGAGCCTGATGCAGGGCTCAAACCCACAGACCATGAGATCATGCCCTGAACCCAAGTTGTACACTCAACTGACTGAGCCACCCTGGGGCACTCCCCCCCAAAATTTTTTAAGCAGAAGCTCTATAAGAACAGTCACTTTTCTTTTTTTTCTAATTTTTTTTATGTTTACTTATTTTTGAGAGAGAGAGAGGGAGAGAGAGAGAGAGAGAGAGAGAGAGAGCATGAGTGGGGGAGGGGCAGAGACGGAGAGGGAGACACAGAATCCGAAGCAGGCCACAGGCTCTTGAGCTGTCAGCACAGAGCCCAATACGGGGCTTGAACCCACCAATGTGAGATCATGATCTGAGCTGAAGTTGGACGCTCAACCGACTGAGCCACCCAGGCACCCCAGAACAGTCACTTTTTCTGGCTAAACCTTGAGAACAAAGGCTGTCTGATTTGAGAACTATCCTAGGTTTTGAGGTATTATCATGTGGCATAAGGCACAGATTTTGAAGCAAAACTCCCTGGATTTGAATCTCGTTGTCCACCTGCATTCTATAGGTGTCTTTGGATGAAGTGAGTTAATATTTATAAAGCTCTTTATAACCAGTACCTGGCCCACACAGGAACTATAGACATGCTTGTTAAGTATATCACTCAGCTTAAGATATGTGTTAATGTCCCATCTTAAGGGCCCAGTGGTCTTCTGGAGTTCAGATGGCCTGTTTCTCTTTTTATGGACTAGGACTCCAAGACTTTCTCAAGTGGTAGCTGGGTCGGAGGAGAAGGGGACTTCAGCCAATAGCGTGGGAACCCCAAAATAAATTCATGCAACCGAGGGATTTCACTTATTCGGTTAGACTCACCCCAGCCCTTTGGTTTTACAGTTGGTGATGTATGTTGGCCAGATAGCCAAGGATATCCTGAAGTGGCCCCGCCCCTTCTCTCCTCCTGTCGTGAAACTAGAGGAGAGAATGATTGCCGAGTATGGAATGCCATCCACCCACGCCATGGCAGCCACCGCCATTTCCTTCACCCTCCTCATCTCTACGATGGACAGATACCAGGTGAGGCCACCACCCATGCCAATCAGGTGGCAAAGAGAGGTTCCGCCTCAGAGTTTTCTGTTTTGAGGGGGCTTTGAGGTTTATGAAATAAGGACTGGGAGGGGCGGGGACGGAAGTGTATTGAGCCATTGGTGACAATTTCTTCATAGAGAAAGTGACATACGGGTTCGTGTCCAAGTCAGGCTGTACCTCAGAGTGAAAAGCACACCCCCCGTAATAACACCCCCACAACAAGCATGGCATGCCTGGCCCAGGACCCAGGGTGTGTGGAGTCCCCCTGCCAGAGCACTGTGCCCTGGAGTTCTCCACTAGACAGCACGTGATCAGTTTTCTCATCTTCTCTTTACACCAGCTGCGAGAAGCTTATGATCCTCATAAATGGTCCTCCAGGGCTGGGATGACTCCACCAGATAAATCCTCTTGCTAGACTTCCCAGGGCCCAGGGAAGGGAAAGGTCTGGGCCCCACATTGGCTTCCAGGGATGTCTTTGCACCTGTTGAGGCTCAACCAGTAGAAATAATGGCTCCGTGTTTTCTAGATTCCTCTCTAAATGACAAGAGATTACTAACTGTTGAAAACGGAGGAATGTCACTTCACTAATACCTGCTTAGATGCCAATTACAGTCAGATTTATTTTTTTATTTTTTTTTTCTGAGAGAGAGAGACAGCATGAGCAGGGGAGGGTCAGAGAGAGAGGGAGACACAGAATCTGAAACAGGCTCCAGGCTCTGAGCTGGATGTCAGCACAGAGCCCGACGCGGGGCTCGAACTCACGAACCGTGAGATCATGACCTGAGCTGAAGTCGGACGCTTAACCGACTGAGCCACCAGGCGCCCCCAGTCAGACCTTTTAAAAGTTACATCAGTACTGCAGTCAAGTACTTCGCTTTGCCTACCTGAGAAGTTTTGCTCCAAGTTTACATTTAATTTCATAATTTTTCTCTCTCGCTCTCTGGAAAATTTAGATTTCATTAAACCTAGCAGTCCTGTAGGTAAACGACCGTGTTGTTTTGCCTTGTCCCTACACCCTCAAAACCCAGGTACGTTCTGGGTTCTACACGGTCAGAACTAGGGGAATCAGTCTGACGTAGCTGGACAGGGACAGGATTAGCGCTGGGTCCCGGCTGTACCTCTCTGGTCTTCTACCTGGTCACGTGGGGTCAGACCTCCATTTCCGGGATGGGGAAGGGACAGGTCTCAGGAATATATCCAACGAAGTATAATCTTCCGTCATAACTTTAAGTCATGCAGGGACCGAAAACGTCTGAACTCTCCAGTACTGTGTCTGAACTAACTTAACACAGAGACCTCTGAGCTCCCTCGTAGGCAGGGCGCCTGCCCCAGCGGGCCCGGGGCTGGTCCTCAGCATCCAGATGCTGCTGCGCTCAGCATCCAGAGAGGCCTGTGCGCGTGCTGACGTTGCACAGGAGAAAAGCCTCATGGCAGCGGACTGCAAAAAACAGCAACAGCAACCAATTATGTACTCATTTCAAGGCCACTTGGTCCTTCTTTAAAAATGCTTTTCAGCTCCCATGATGCAGCAGTTTTCAGCCTGAGTTGTTGTGGACTTCTTTCCTAGTCAATTGTTTTTTAATTAAAAAAATTTTTTTAATGTTTATTTATTTTTGAGAGAGACTGAGCATGGGTGGGGGAGGGGCAGAGAGAGAGAGAGGAAGACACAGAATCCGAAGCAGGCTCCAGGCTCTGAGCCGTCAGCACAGAGCTCGGTGCGGGGCTCAAACCCACAAACTGTGAGATCGTGAACTGAGCCACCCAGGCGCCCCTTCCTAGTCAATTTTTAATGATCAATATATTTAGCTATTGGGGTTATTTGCTATAATATTTCTAAATATGGTTTCTTTATATGTGTTCAGGCTAATGCCTCAACTCGAACTTCTGAATGCATTAACTCATTAATTTTTAACACTTTTTCTTAAAATCTGAGACCCAGTTAATGATAAATTTTAAGAAAAGACATATGACCGTGTGTGATTATATTCACATCTTACATCAGAAAGAATGTGTTGCAGGGCACCTGGGCAGCTGGGTCTGTTGATTGTCTGACTTCAGCTCAGGTCATGATCTCACGGTTTGTGAGTTTGAGCTCCCCATCAGGCTTTGCGCTGACAGCATAGAGCCCACTTTGGATTCTCTGTCTCTCTCTCTCTGTGCCTCTCCTCCCCCTGACACTTACTTTGTTTCTTTCTTTCTCTCTCCGTCTCAAAAATAAATAAACATTAAAAAACAAAAAAAATAAACTGTGCTGGACTTGGACATGGAAGTTGTGGCTTCTGGTTCTAACTCTTACCCTTCACCAGCTGTGTGACCTTGGGCAAGTCGGCTTGCCTCTCTGAGCCCAGTTTTCATTTTGAGGATCAAATGGAATGATTAATGGGAAAACATCTTTGTGCTTAAGTTCAGTAGTGATGTAACTGATTATCAAGTTAAACGGTTTCTTCATTTGTGGAATGGACTTAGTAGTAGAACCCACTTCCTAGAGTTGTGTGAAGATTGATGGAGTGGGTGACTGTACAGAGCTTCACTTGATATAGACAGCTCACTGTCATCTTTATTCTTCTCACCATGAAACACCACAGGCGTTAGTGCTTGAAGCACATGGATTATATCTTTACATCTCCATTTATGAGCAGAATATCCATATGTTCCTTATATGACCCTGCATGAGCCGGATTCCCGTGCCTGCTATTGTTACCCACCAGTGAAAGTTGAGATTTAGCAAAGTCTGGATTTTTGCCTTAACATCTGTCTATAAAGTTGCCCATTCTTAGCTTGGGCCCGTTGCTCCTGGGAGCCGGTTGTTGCCAAGCTTTACCAGCCAGCACTCAGTGGGGATGTAGGTGGTTGAACTTCCGGGCGACAGGATTGCCCCTTGCTCAGTACTGTATACCTCATACATGTTACTCTCTGAAGAAGAATAGGTCGAAACACAAAGGATTTACGTCCCCACCACCGGCTTAAGGCCAAGTTCTAACTAAGTCTTATTTGTATGTTTATATGTTGTGAAGCTTCCTCCCGGCGCTATGGTCCTGGGTGCCCCCTCCCCCACTTGGCTCCATTTTCCCACTTTTCAAATGGTTTTAGACCATCCAATTACCAGTCTAGGGAAATCGAGATTGACACTATTAGGCCAGGAATCCTCTCCCCCCATGGGGTCAACCTACGTGAGCATGGTCTAATTGCCTTGTTTTCTCTTGTCCCCCGACAGTATCCCTTTGTCTTGGGGTTGCTGATGGCTGTGGTGTTTTCCACCTTGGTGTGTCTCAGCAGAATCTACACCGGGATGCACACGGTCCTGGTAAGTCCTTGTGGGCAGGTCTTGGGGCGACTGTCTGAATAACAGCGTGGCCAGTGTCTCGGTGTGTTCCTTGCACTGTATACTTCTACAGCTATTTGCATATGTAATTATACTTCCCATTAGGCCAATGAGGTAAGTAATTATGATGTCATGACCCCTGTGTAATAATAATAACGAATCATAAGATAATATCAAGGAAGGGGTGCCTGGGCGTCTCCATCAGTGAAGCGTCTGACTTTGGCTAAGGTCATGATCTTGTGGTCTGTGAGTTCGAGCCCTGTGTCAGGCTCTGTGCTGACAGCTCAGAGCCTGGAGCCTGCTTCGGATTCTGTGTCTTCCTCTCTCTCTTCCCCTCCCCCACTCCTGTTCTGTTTCTCTCTCTCTCTCAAAAGTAAATAATTTTTTTATTTAAAAAAAATTTTTAGAAAGATAACGTTGAGGGGCGCCTGGGTGGCTTAGTCGGTTGGGCGTCCGACTTTCTCTTGGGTCATGATCTCGCTGCTCGTGGGTTCGAGCCCCGCGTCGGGCTCTGTGCTAACTGCCAGCTCAGAGCCTGGAGCCTGTTTCAGTCTGTGACTCCCTCTCTCTCTGACCCTCCCCTGCTCACTCTGTCTCTCTCTCTCTCCTAGAAATAAATAAAACATTAAAAAAAATTTTTAAAAAAAAAAAAAGAAAAAAGATAACGTTGAGAGGACTGACCAGGGCTAGACCTTCCTGACTTGGAAGATTGGCTAGAATGTCAACAGAGACTCAGGTCATTTATTTTCATGCTGGTTTCCTGGTGACGCAGGAGGAACACCCATGGTCAAGGACGGGAGCGTGAGGATATGGTTCCCACTTAGGTCCTCACAGAGATGGGTCTGGATTTTAAGGATCCCAGCTGGCCTCTCCAGGGAAAGGGTCCCTCCGGGTCAAAATAGCCCAGAAGCGTGGGCCTCGCTTCCTTTCTGAACTGCTCTGGGCTGGCGGTGGTGGTGACACACAGAGACGTGTCTGCATTTAAAGGTTCGCCTACCCTTTTACCGTATTGGATCTGTTTCTAGGGCTGCGATGGTTAGTGTAGTGAGAATGACCTCAGAGCTCTGTTTCCGGGTGTGCCGGGCAGCTGCCTTGAAGTTCCAGAGCACAAGGCTGGCCATGGCTCACCACAGGGCACTGTTTATCATTATAATTGGCACAAGGAAGATTTCTCTAGAAAGGAATGGGCTCTTGCTAATTGTGTTACTCTCTGTGCAAGGCTGAAAATTTGTGTTAGCTGAGGACCTCTCTGGGGGAAAGGCCACCCGCCTGCTGGTCTTCTTGGTGTCTGGTGTTGGTTATCACACNGGGGGGGGGGGGGGGGGGGGGGGGGGGGACACGCAGCAGAGGTGAACGGATGGAATGAGAGAACCTGTAAGAATGAGCAGAGGCAGAGGACTGGAAGAACAAAACCCGGAGAAAGAAGGCTCAAGGCCGCACGGGATTCAGTGAGAGACACCGCGCTTTCCCTTAAAGCTCATGCTCGCTCAGAAAAGCAAGGAGGAGCCCAGAGCCACCAGAGTCAGGGCTGGGCCTTGGGGCAGGCAGGTCAGAGCCACACAGAAGGAGTGACGCGACCAAGATAAATGATCATGATAGAATACTTAAGAAAAGCAAAATTAATGCAAAAAATGCATCAAAAGCAAAAAGTGTCCACAATAAACAAAATACCCGCATTTCTCTTCTAAAGTTTATTTATTTTGAGAGAGAGAGGGAGACACGGAATCCAAAGCAGGATCTAGGCTCTGAGCTGTCAGCACAAGAGCCCGAAGTGGGGACTCGAACCCACAAACCATGAGATCACGACCTAAGCCTAAGTCGGATGCTTCACCGACTGAGCTGCCCAGACGCTCCCACAATATCCAACTTTTAAGCAAAGACCAGCTCTGACCCTGAACTTGCACGGCCCTGCAGCCTCCCCCGACCATCTTCAGCCGGCCTGACCAGATCTTGAAGACCCTGGAGGAGAGGTTGGGGGACCAGGGGCATCATCTCCCTCCTGAGACACGTCCTTGTGGTCCCTGTGCTCGACCAGCTTCTGAGCCTGCAGGGGGACGGGGGACGGGAGAGGGGAGCATTCTCAATTTGCCACACCGCTGCTTCGCATTATAAGGAGGCTCCCTCCAACTACGTCCGGGGACCTCAGTGTGGAACCAGCCAGCACTCTCGCGGGTGTTCGGCAGCCCTTTTATCTGGGGCTGCTCTGTAATTTCCGCAGGCTTTCCTAAAAGGCGATCGCGAGAATCCAGGCTGAAATGAAAACCAGCATCCGTGCGAGAATGCGGAGCCACAGACATGAGTAAAGGGCACAGAAACCCCATCTCAGGAAAGACACAGCTTGCTGCCTGTCTTTTTAAAGTGGGTTATGGGGATGGGGAAGCTGCTGTTTGTGGGGAAAACTGTTTAAGCCTCTCGTTCAGCTCCGAGGAACGGGTCCAGCTGCTCTCCTTGGGGCATCCGTCCCAGAAGAAACTGGAGCAAAGCTGTAGAAACTTCCACCCACCCCCACCCCGTGCTGCCATCGCCCCCCGGGGCTTCTCCACACGTGTAATTTTATTTCATAAAGAGCCTGTAGAGTAGAGCCTGACTTGGGCCCGGGCCCAGTCCCGAGAGGAGCCGGAGGCACGGCCCAGGGTTCGACAGTACATAATTCCTAGTCGCAGGAGGGGACACTTCCTTGTAATAGCAGGATCCAGTTAAATTACGGATTGGCAGTCTTCTTCACTCAGCAGCCACTTAATAGTCCGCTGCAGGTGCCGGGCTGGGAGCCAGATCGGCATGATACACACGGAAACAAAACCTACCTCACCCTCCTGGGTCTTGGGGTGCTGGTGGTGACAGACGTGTGAGCTGCTGATGACTTGATGTGACGAGGACTGTACTTAGCGTGGAGCAGCTGGGGCGGGCCAGCAAACGTGGCCTGTCTTCTCTCTCCCCTGGACCCCTTGCAGCCATCAGGGACAGCCATGCGCTAACGGTTCTCACTGACTACATAGTCACATCCCATGGAAAGCTTTTTAAAAATCTCCCAGGGAGGAGGGGTATTTGGAGACCCACATTCATGGCAGCAGCATTAGTCACAATAGCTGACGAGTAGAAACAACACACACACACACACACACACACACACACATATCCTAAGCGTTGGTATTTTTTCAAAGCTCCTCAGTTGATTTTAATGTGCAGCCAGGGTTGAGAGCCATTGAGTAGACTGACTGTCCTTTAGAATTGGCTGTGAGCATGTGCCCGAACCAAACTGGAGCCGGAAGGTGGAGATAGATGCTTTGCAAGGACCCACCACGTCCACGCCATGAGCTGCTCCCGTCGCACACACCCCGGGGTGTCCCCGAACTCGAAGTCAGTCAGGTGGTCACTGCTTGATGCAAATGGTTCTCTGTGCACGGAGAGGAAGCAATTCAAGGAGAATAGAAATGCACCTCTCTCTCCCCTAAAGAAATCACTTCTTGTCAGGGGGGAGCGGTTTGCTCTCTGATGTCAAGTCTTCGGGGACAGGCTGCAGCTGACTCCTGGGCAGGCCCGAGTGAAACTACTTGTGGTGTCACTGTCCTGCCAAACCACCTCACAGACGGGTGTCTCATCTGTCACGATGTCTCAGCGAGAAAGTCGGGCACCGCCCTAGCTCCGGCCTTCCCACGCTCCTCAGGTAGTCGCCAAGCTGAATTAATTCTGACTCGCGCCACTGCTCCAATATTATTTCCGTATCTGATTATGCGTTAGAATGTGTTAGAAGGATTTGGGCAGCTCCCGGAGCTCAGTATGAATGGGGCTGCGCAGCTAAGCCTCTAGAAGGAAAGAAGCAGGGCACCTGAGAGCGCCTTCCTCTCCCGTGAGAGAGCCACTGTTGGAAGAAGCCCACACCTTCTCTCTCAGATCAAAATCTTAATTTCCAGAGATGAAAGCTTGATCGCCCTGGGGCGTTACCCTTGAACCAATGGGCCTTGGCGAGGGGAATGGGATGCAGAGCAGAACCGAGACCCCAGAAGCCACCCCCATGGGCTACCAAGGCAGTGCCCCCAAAAAACGGGCTAGAAAGACAACCCAATAAGTTCATCACTCTTGAGAGGGCCCAAACCCAAGTGGTTACCGCCTGAGCGAGTCAGGACTCCTTGAGTGCAAAGAATAGACACTAACTCAAACTCACTTAAGCTTAAAGAAAAAGTTGTTGTTGTTGTTGTTTTAAGTTTTTGAGAGTGAGAGAGCAAGGGAGAGAGAGGGAGAGAGTGTGAGCAGGGAAGGGGAAGAGACGGGGTGGAGAGTGAATCCCAAGCAGGCTCCATCGCTAGCACAGAGCCTGATGCAGGGTTCGAGCTCATGACTGAGATCACGACCTGAGCCCAAACCAAGAGTCAGACACTTAACCGACTAAGCATCCCCGAAAATTTATTGGTTTTTATAGCCACACTGTAGGAAGGGTGGAGGTAAAGGTAGCCCTTGGGAGAATGGGACCTGAGGTCCAGATCTTTGTCGGAAGTCTCCCTACGCTTTCCCTAGCTTCTCTGCACATCTCTTCACATGGATTCATGTTCTCGGGCTGCCTTCTCTCTGAGACTAGACCCAAGGAGCTCTGGGCTTAAAATTCTTTGTTTTGTTCCTGAAAGGATTGCAGTGGGGAGAATTTCAGGAAAGTGTCTAGTGGCCTGGCCTGGACAATGGGCCCATCGCTGAGTTAAATGCTGTCCGAGGGTGCCAGAGGTGGTGGCTGGTCCAGTCGGGTGGCCAGCCGGCCTGTGTGAGTGGGGGCTGTGAGAGGCAGTGATGGTTAGGGCAGGGTTAGGGTTGGCCTGTAGGAGGGGCACTTCTTCCAGAATGAAATGGATCTGTCACCAGAAGAAGAAAATAGACCAAACTCCAGTGGTACCTTCTCTACGTTGACACCATTGCATTTTCCTGCTCTTTCAAGGACTCAAAACTGGACATTACACTTGTTTATATGGGGGAAGGAGGAAGAGAGCAAACCAAGA